TATCCAAGATAACAGCTTCTTCACTTCATTGAAGAACTGTTTGCTTTAGCTATTATTTGTTGTTAATAGGTCAAACAGTATATGTATTTTATGTGCCTGATGTTTAATTCTATTCATTATAAATTTAGACTAAAAATTATCTTTTGATTATTAGACGTTATTGAAACTGAATTATTGAATATTATCTATCATACTGAGATTCACAACATATACTAGGTACATTAAGAATTAGGAGTTATACATTTGGCATTTGATATTTTTTAAACAGGATTCTCAAAGTATAGTGAAGGAAAGTGAAGAAAACACCTTTTCGTTCTCTACTACTGATAATTAGTAAAGGGCATGGCTCTTTCATTTTGTGTGTGTGTGTGTGTGTGTGTGTGTGTGCATGCTCGCACACCTGAGTATGTGTTGTGCACCACTTGTGTGCAAGTCCACACAGAGTTCAGATGAGAGAACTGTGTGATGAACCTAGATCTATAAGTGGCTGTGGGCTGCTTGATGTGAATGTTGGTAACTGAGCTCAGTACCTTGTCAAGACCACAACCTGTTCTTAACCACTGAGATATCTACCCCCAGGGTAGATATCCTGAATATGGATGGCACTGTCATCATGATTAGCTTTGAGGATTACTAAAATAAACAAATCAGTTCAAACTGCTTTTAAATAGCCAATAAATATAAACATCACACAATTAACATATCATTAAAACACTATTGTACCAATTTATAAATTCATATTCAAAAATCTAATAATTGGGCCCAAAATAATTCAGAATAAGAAGTGATGTGGGCAGTACAAAAGTCCAGAGTGGAAGCCAGAGACTTAAGTGCGAAGATCAAAAATAGTTGTGATTCAGGAGTCAAAGAGGAGAACAGAAACATCTCAGGTGACTGGGTCGGTTGAATTCTATATCCTACATCTCTCAAGCAAATAGGATTAATACTCCAACAATACTGAAGCACAGAGCTCTAAATACTTAGGTAGCTGCTCCAAACATGTCTGGCTGCAGTAAGGCTGAGAAACCCCTCAAAGCTCATCTTGTCTAGACAATAAGATGTAAGGATTTTCTTTCATGTACAGTAGATGCTATCCAGAGAGGGGAGTGGGAAATCTGAATCAAATCCCTTACCTATGAGATCAGGGAAATGGAATTAAACCAAGGAAACCCAGGAAGAAGTAATGAATGTCATGAATTCTTATAATAAAATAATATATTACCATGTAAGATATATATTATTAAACTACAGAATAATTGTTTTAGTTACCAATGTAGATAAAAGAAATTTGCATCAATGCTACTTTTAGTTTTTAAGACGTTTCCCCCGTGATATAAATTGGATTATATGAGTTCATTTAACATGAACGAATTATTTGCAAAATCACTTCAGAGAAATAACTGCCTGTTAAATAATTTTGGTCATTATTCTGACAGTTTCGTAACTCTTACACATTATAAAAGTAACAGTATGAATGGTTAAAAGTTACATTAATATTTACCTTTAGTGGAAGAGTTATATTTTTCTTGTTCTTCAATGAATTAAATGCACATAATGATGGAAACAAAAGAAAGAAATCAGCAAATTTATAGTTAGACATGGAAATGTGAGTTAACAAAATGGCATGAATAATAAAAATGCATAACATATAAGGTGACATGATAAACCATGAGAAAGTTTCACATGTACTGAAATTAATCCAAAAATGAGTACAGCAATTCAAAGATTTAATGAAAACAAAAATGTCAGGAAATAACTTATTTGATATTCCCAACAAAATGCTACAATACTTTCTCTTGCCTTTTAAGAACTGCACAGGTTGGCAACAATTTTAATAAAATGTTTTAATTTAAATCTACCACTGTCTCACACTGTAAACATATTGAAAGCATACTTAATCTACATAGAAAACTTGAATGGTAAAATTGCCATTTCCTATGATATAAAATCCCATGTGATTAATCCCATTTTTTATTAAATAGAAAGTATATAAGTTACAGCATGGGAATACTTCTATAGCATTTTCTGTGAACAATATATCTCAATGTTTGTAGTCTTTGCTTGTTCTTCAAACTAACTATAATAGATATCTCAAGATGAAATTATTCACTTTTTAATTATTACATATCCTAGATATTTCAGAAAACATTAGATCTACCTCCTTGCAGTTCTATTCTTTGTTGCAAAATAACTGTCCGATCACATCTAAAGGGAGCTGTCAGTATTGTTTCAGGTTTTAAGTAGTACATGCAATGTCAATATAGTGAATGGTCTTTACATTCTTCATTAAGAGGCATCAAAGAACTGCAAATCTGACCTGACCTGTTTCAGAAAAACCATGCATTTTTATCCAACCAATCACGACTGCCTAGATTTTATGTAAAATGACACCATATTATATTCAATACTGAAATGTGATTGAAGAAATTTCAAGAAACTCTCTACTTTCAATTTTTACACACTACTAAGAATACCATAAAGTACAGATTACATATTAACTTGCTTTATATCAAAATAAATACTGCAATCATCTTCTTTTCCTATTGTCTACTTTTATATAACTAGACTTCACGCAATAAATCCCCCCAATACTCTGTCTTCTGAAAGGGAGCTTCAAATATTCTTAAAATAGTAAATAATATGGAAAATCTGTTTATAGCATACAAGATATAATAATTGGCGAAAATTTAGGGAATATATCCAGAAAGTCAAATTATCTTTGTATACAACCTAAGACAATAGCATAGATAATCTCGTGTACTGAAAAAAAATTTATAAAATTAGTTTACGATTGTTATCAAGACATTATATCACTATCTAGGAAACTAAATCACTCACAGTATTTGTTCTTACCAATTAGCTATTGATCAACTGAATTACTTTTAAAAACAGTAAGCCAGCCCTTCATAAAAGATTAAGTAAGAAAAACCAGAAGCTGTCAATAGGAGCTTAAGCAGTCACAAATACACCAGAGTTGATGCTAATTCCCATACAAGACAGTACTGCAATCCGACAAACCCATCAAAAGGGAAATGACTGACACACTTACATCTCTTTAAGAAGAGTGAAAATCATCATCAATAAACTGTACTAAGAGATAAGGCATGGTCTAGTTCATGGATTAAATTACTATCCCAAACGATTAAGGATCAGTGTGTCACATGAATGGTTCAGTACAAAACCCACCCAGAAGATGATGGGAGACACCACCATCATTGACCACAAGCCCCAAAGCATGTATCAGTATCATAATGCAACACCTCAGAATGCTGACACTAAATACCACATAATGGCTGCTCTGCTCTAAAAGCTCTGTCTATATCAGAATGTTTCAGGAACCTTCAACAAAATGTGTTTACTGAAGTATTTTTCATAATAAATAGTGAAATAACTCAAACGGTCTCATTCCCCATTCATTCATTCCCTTCTTCCCACCTCAACAGAATCCTCACGCCTTGATGTTTTCTCCGAAAGACAACTGCGAATATGAATATCATAACATAGACATGAACAATTGAAAAAGTGAGAAGTAAACAAACAGTCCCACAGATTACTATAATCCCGCTGTGCGCCCTCATATGTCACCGAGTGTTTTACTTGCAACAGGAGGAAATGCAAAGAATTTTAGGAACACATGACTTGCTAAGTTTCAGTGTGACCAATAACACTGGGTTTTTAGTGCAGCATCCAAATTTATAGTCCGTTCAGTTGTGCAACAAGAGTTCATGAATGAGTAAGTTAATGTTTCATCATCTAATTGTTAAAAAGATTAAAATTTTGACATATGTATTGCTGGTGTAGTTCAAATAACATTACGTTTGCTTAGTCCTCTCAAAACGTTCCAGAAAAAAAAAAACTCTATTAGAAATACGGATTCTGTAATCGATTACTGGTATTTTAGAAAGGAGTTTCACCAAGACTGTACTTTCTTAATTGACTAATTGACTAAATGTACACATTCATCTCATCCCTGAACACTAAAGCATGGCATACCAACAATAAACATGATTTTTAAAAAAACCCACAAATCTGGCTGTTGTAGCTTTTGGCAGTGTCAACATCACTTATTCACACTAATATTCCTATTATCAAGTATTTCACATGGTGAAGTAGCCCGCCTCAATCACTGAAGCAATGCGATCTGGGAGGGAATGGGAATTTTCTAGCAGCAACAGCCAACGGTGTTAAGAGTATTCAGAAATTGAGTCAGCTGAGTATTTCATAGGGATGCAGATTTGCAATGGACGTTTTACTATGTTCATTGTTCTTGAGCCACAGCCCTGAACTAGAGAAAAAATTAAACAATTCTTTTAATTTTTAATTATAGATGTGATAGAAAATACTAATGTCATTTAGTTACTAAGGAACGGGTCAGGAAAAAATAGTATTTTAGTCCAGCATTTCAAACATTTAACTCATGTACTTTAATCTTGGTTTCTATTAAAGCACACCTCTCCTTACACACACACACACACACACACACACACACACACTTTCTCTTAGGAAAACAAGACAACCCATGTCTGATAATATAAGAAATCCAGGCAATGTGACTTGTAGGAAAATAACAAATATATGTTTTGAGTAATTTTCATCATCAAGTTAAAACTCTAGATATTGGCAATGAAGCTAAAAGGGAAAACACTATTACATGACCCAATGATCATATTTAACTCTTAAATTTTTCAATAATAAGGTAAGACCTTCTTTCAGCTCGTAAGTTTTGAGACTTTGTATCATCTAGTTCTGTGCTTATGTAAAACTATCAAGAACCCTACCCACTCTGTTAAACAATTATCTAAATTCAGTGGACTCAACAAAACACTAATTGTTACATGGCACGGACCACTCAAACTAGGTGCTGGGACGGGGGGTGGGGGGGAATAAAGGTACAGAGAGCTGCAGATGATCTCAACAGCGCCATCTAATTAAATGGTGTGTTAGGAGGAGAAGGTTCTCCACTCCAAGTGTTTGGACAATGATCTCTCTTTTTTGAATACCTTGTTCTATACTGCCGCTTCGGACTGGCACCTGTGGGAGCTGTCTTCCGCGGCGACTGCCGAAGGATGTGTCAGCTGGAGGAGACTGGGTCGGGCTTCCTTGTCGGTGCGTTCTGTAGGCAAACAGCAAAGGGAGGGTGAAGTTCCAGTAAATAAAACAAGTAAATAAAACACCTTTTCCAGTCACTACTAAAATAGTCATAAAACAACTAAATAGGTTCTTTGAAGTGAAATCAGATACCTCAAATGACACACACAAAAGAAACACTGTAAGAGGTTGGAGAGGGGCAGGTCTGGGACTGCCCTACACATTCTGCATGGTGAAATTCTTGAATGAAGCAGAATGGGACTGACTCAGTTTCTCCAGACTTTCTACAAGGCTGTACTTTCTTAAAGTCAATTAATTTTGGTAGTATCATGACTGAACTGACCACAGCCTCTGGATGTTAAAATACAAAAAAAAAAAAAAAAAAAAAGAATAGGCTCCCACTCCACTGGTACACATTTGAGAGGCATTTGGGATAATGAGTTATTGATGCACAGCCTGACACTAGTTACCAATCAGTTGTGCGTTCGTTTTAAATAGAAAGAAACAACAAACCTTGAAATGGATTTTAAACAGCCTCGGACACATGCTCCAGGGTATTCCAATGGCAGGATTAATATTGGAGATGAAAATATGGAGAAGCATGCAGGTATACTTCATTCTCACCCAGATAAAGCTGACCCCCCCACCCCCCCCCTCTGCTGGAGTTCAAAACTTCGTTAACTAAACAAATTTTAAATGCTACTTGATTTTATGAATACATATAAAAGGCTACTTTTAGAAATCCTAGTTTAATAAACAAATACATATTTTAATTCTGAGTCAACTCGTCATAAAACATTTCATGTAATAAAGTACGTATGATATGCCACACACAGATGAAAGGACAGCACACAGCCAGATTCAGTTTTCGATGGTAGCTAACCGGCAGGAAGTAGAGAATACGGCCAGCACAGTGAGTAGATGCGAGTGGTAGAGGATGCAGGAGCGGATCAAGTGCCACAAAGCAAAGGTTAAAAACTATGGTGTCATAATGAGTGAATGCTTCGAGTGCGCAGGAAAGAACAACACCACACCAACACCCGGCAGCGGGACACGAATGCTGGGCTGGACACTGAATAGCAACCTTGTCAGAAGCGGAGAAGGCGGCGCTGACCCTCCGGGGGCAAGGTGGTGCATAGAACACAGGGTTCTGACACTAGAGTGCTCGCTCGACCGGGAGCGAGTGGGATGCTTTCCCCTAACGACTGGTTGATCGGTTGCTCTTGGGATTGCGTATCCCCTTCTAGAAAGGCATGGTGGGAGAGCCCTAAAACATCAGTGCCAAAAAAGATCTTCAGTCAGCAGGTTTCATTAACTTAACAGCAACACATTTGTCCAAGGAAAACCTGGATACTCTTAAAATACAAGAGGAACACTCACCACACAATTATTGAGACGGAAATGTCACTGTCGACAATCCACAGGTATGTCATATTATAAAGGACCAACCTAGGTTCCCCTCATATAATGAACCCTTCATAGTCAAAGACATCAGTCTTTGGTTGGGTTATTGAACTGTATGTCCAGTGTGTCAATCACGTAGAGCAGAAGGGTAGGAACACAACAAAGATTTGCTGATTGAGTGTGTGCTGTTACACTGATTAACACCATCCTATTCCATAAAAACGTGAACTGGAAATGTGTGGACGTTTTTATAACGTTCATAGTTTTATGGTGTAAGAGGCAAGTCTATGATGAATAGAAAGCTAAAAGGGCATGCCTCTTCAGCTTAATCTAAGACTATGAAATAAAAACAGAGCTTAAACAGAATTTCATTGTCTTATACACCCGATTAAGCACAAGTAGCTAATGTGTGGGTAAAATGGATTCTCTTAGATATGACAGTATCTGAAATGTATTTATGAATACAGTGGTAGTTATCTTGATATGGTATTCAAAATCATTATGAAGTATACAGTGGTAGTTATCTTGATATGGTATTCAAAATCATTATGAAGTAATTTTCTGAATTAAGTACTAAGAATTAAAATGGAATCATAGGCATGCATGTGTATATCTATACCTAAAATAGATTCATGCTTTTGCTCCTTGTGTCATTTTAGTATTATTTTGCTAAGTGATGTGATTGAAGTGACTGTCGGGTATTGACAAGAGTGTAAAACACCTCATCCTTATGAATTGCAAAAATGAGAAACGTGGTTACTGTCTTTAAGTACGAGAACAACACGTATTGGTTACCCAAAATGAATTCATGAAGACTTTACACCACTTTCATTTAGCTTAATATTCTTTTAAGTCAAGCATTTCTTGCAACAAGACTGACTTTTGCTTCAAGCTATGTCTTCCATTTCAGAACAATAAAGAAGGAAATACCAGTTTTCAGAGAGCAAGAGAGTGCAGCTTACATCTGTAATAAAGGTGGCATTTTATCCTCTCAGGTTGTGGATTAAGGCTTTATTAGATATTGACTTGTCCTGAAACCTCACCTGTCATTGCCACTTCCAACTTATAAATAGATGATGTTCTACTTACTCCCATAGTTCATCTGTTCTGAATTGATTTTCACATTAACTCAACCATCTAAAACTGACTGAGATGGGAAGAATTTATATGACCGTACTATCTCCAACACCAAACAATGTTTTATCTATTCCTCTTTATAATCCATTATTAAAAGAATCATCTTGTTCAAAATACGAATTTTTGGTTGTGACTTAAAAGTTAGATTGGACAGATGTCACATCAGTAACAGTGTCTCTTGGAAATTACAAATTCACTAAAATCTTACTTTATCCCTTGATGAAATTTCTAAGCAGCTATGAACAACTCAAATGTGACCTGGGATAAGACTGATTTCATCCAAGTATATGGAAAATGTTATGACAACCATTTTCAGAAGGATTTGAATGGATTCTAGATGAGTATTCTAGTGTTCTAACTCCATAACATTTGACTTGAGAACTGTGTTTGAGATGGAGGAAGGCTGGTAGACCCTGAAAGGGGCCACAGTGTTCCGAATCAAACAATTTGCACAAGATCTGTTTTATTTACTTTTTCCTTTACGTAAAACAACTGTCCACATGTCCCAGTAACAAAGTGTTTCTTGCTACAAGTCAATCTATGGAGTGCAGACCAGAGGAGAAATAAAGCTACTTTGATTGAGCAAGAGAGATGTGGTCACAAGCTTGAGTTCAAAGGGAATGAACTGGAAAAGACAGGACCAAAGTGTTGCAGAGGAGAGGTATGCTTTGTTTAGGCGAATGGAAGGAACCGGTTAAGACATTTCAAGGTACAACAGTGTAGAGTCGAGAGCATCAGGGCTGTTAAGCCTTGATAATTTTTACAAAATGGGGTATACTAGGAAGAAAAGATATAAGAAAGAAACGGGAGAGACTTAGAATGATCTTGAATGATCTTGTTTGAGAAGAAAACCAAATATGGATGGCAGAAAACGGAAGTTTTAAGGAATAATAATATAAACAATGAGATCTTTAATGTTAGTGTAGGGACATCTACATTCTAGGCTCTGAGTATGTGTGACTGTGCATTAACAGGGATTCATGCGTGTGCCTATCTGTGATATTTTGTGCCGTATTCCTTTTAAATTACAATTGCTACTATTCTATAAGTAAAACTGAGTATCATTCAGAAAGACAGGATCCACACAGGTTTGCTGAGAACCAACAGGGCCTTATTTTCTAAAAAGTTGACATAGGTGTATGCAATTGATTCTTTACTTTTGTGCAGTCTACTCGAACCTGGCATGCTAGAGGAAAATAGAATAGAGGGACTCATGATGTAATTACTGGAACAGGGCTTGTTCTTATACCATGGGACAAAAAAAGGAAAAAAAGAAGAATTTCAAACAACATGTACACCTAAAAATTGAGTGATTTAGTATGGTTTAAAGGAATCATGATCTGAGAGTTTTCTATAATTAAAATGTCTTTAAAATGACATTTAATGAGTCTGCTCTGTATCCTCTTTCATGAGTCCACACATATATGTATACAGTAGCTCACTGTCAGTCAGTGTGTATCCAGTCACATCCTAATTTTGTACACCTTACTCTACAGTGAAAAGTTGGACCTAAACACAGTTCATCTCAAACTTTAGATCTTTAGCCAGACATTTCCATTTTTGCAAACAGCCACAGTTGGAGCGTAAAACTAAGGCTTGGATATTTTGTTCTTAATGATTTGCTAAAGAGGTAAGAATATACATAGTATTTGAGTTTCCAGGGGTTTATTCAGAGCTAGCCTTTTGCAGGCTTGCAAATGCTTCTTCCCATAGCTACAACACATTAACAAGTGCCTCTGTATGCAATTCCAAATAGTAGTATCAGTAAACATCCAGCAGTCAGAATCCAGAATGAGGTATCACTAAGAGAAAGGTACAGGAAGGAGATGCAGAAATGATGGGGGCCTTTCTTAGCTGAACCCCCACAGAGGTGAAAAGAGAGGCTTTATCTTACTAGGGAGTTCTCTTTGGCACCTTTCTTGTTTGCTTGTTTTGTCATATTGTCACTTGTTTGATTTTTATTTATCTTATTTGACTATTATTCCTTAGAAGCTTGTTTACTTTCTAATGAAAGACAGAAAGGGTATGGATTCAGATGGGAGAGGCCATGGGGAGGAGCTAGGAGGAATTGGTGAGGAGACCTAAATCAGAATATATTGTATAAAATCCACTCCAATCTATTAGATGAAAGTGAGGGAGAGAGAGAGAGAGAGAGAGAGAGAGAGAGAGAACACAGTGAAGACATACAGAGAGAGACACTAAGAGAACCTCTAACAAGTCATTGTACATTTCAAAACATTTTCTCGTGAGGCCGTGGCACTCAATGACAAGTCAAAGGGGTCAATTTTTCAGTTTGGGGTATTGCCAAGTGGTAGAATATTTGCCTAACAATTTTATGACCTTAGGTTTCATTCCAAGCAGAAAGAAGAAAGAAAGGAAAGGAGAAAAGGAAGGAAGGAAGAATAGAAGGGAAGGGGAGGAAGTAAAGTAGGAAGGAAGAGGGGAAAGATGGAGAAAAGAAACCAATGTGCAAAGTCTTCACATGGTGGACGAATTCATCTTAGTGACAGGGTTGTCCTTATGTCCAACTCAACTCAGAGCTCCTGTTGAAACTACAGTTAATGTGACCTAGAAAATAAGCGTCAACTGTCTTGCAACCCGCATTTAACAATCTGCTTCAAAATTAATTATGTAGCTTAGATTTCAATAAGACCAATCAAGTACCTTAATTATCAACAAACAAAACCACTTATATAAAAAGCCAGTGTTCCACAGTGATCCACAGGATCAACATCTCTGTGGATCATTAGATTTCAGCTGCGTTTCCCTCTTTCCAGTTTAAGCAACCCATTGATATTGCTCGTCTTAATTTTTAGCTTTCGATGTGGGATGGAAATGCTGATCACTACTTTCTCACTTAGACCAGAACTCCAAGTGGCATGTTTTTGACCTGAGTGAATACTGAACTCTACAGGCTCTGACTTGTTCAAGCCGACTCAAGTACCCCCACTGGAAGTTCTTCATCTATTCTTAGGTATTTTTGTGCATTTGCCAGTTCTCAAAGGGATCTATAATTTTGAAACTCAAAAAATCAATTTTCCAGTGCCTTGGTTTAAGGACTAGGAGTATTTCTTTTCTTTTTTTTATTATTTTATTTATTTAAATCAAATCATAATTTTACGTATTCACACAGGGGTTATAAACACAGAAAGACAGCACGTGGGGAAGGGGGTGACACCAGAGCGTGGGTGTTCAGGGGGAATACAGATATCTTTCAGAACCGGGTATCGGCTGGGTGAGGGTTCAGGGGACAGGTCACTATGACTCTGCCTATGATTCACTTGTCCTTATCTAAGTTGGTATTATCTGCCAAGGCTACCTGTTTACAAGGTCTATGACTACTCAGGCTGGTAAAATTCAACAAAAGCTGCCTGTTTACAATAGCTTATAGCCATCTGTTTCAATGTTTTTCCACAGAGACCCAAGATTTGGTGTTAGTATACATGTATGACAGGTCTATTGCTGATATTAGGCCTATGGCTGATTTTAGGCCTTCAGTGTATAAGCAGGGCTGCCCCTGACATCACCTCCCTTCTCTATGTATAGAAGGGCCGTGGCGATTCTAATCTTGTGAAGGCAGGGATAGAGGCCTGACCTCCAGTAATTGAAGGGGACTTTGTAATGGCTCAGGTCCCCCTGTCATTGTCCAGTGAGGCATGAGGGCCATACCCATCCCGATGTCTTTTTGACTAGTCATATTTCATAAACAGACTAAGCGTCTTTAGCATATTAACAAGGCAGAGTCACGTCAGTCTTGACCTCACATACAAACAATGTCCAGTTCAGTTTTTAGCTTCCCTTTCCTTGCAACCTGATTTACATTCTCCGTTCAAAAATAGGCACTTCAACTAAAAATAATTTTTCATGTTTTGGAAATTTTCTCACATTTTTCCCATTCGCTAGGTAATCTAGTTTTATCTGTTGACTTGCTTCAGTAAGGCTGGTCTGTTGAATATTTTCAAATTCCAACACTCCCTACCTCATACCTCCGCTTTCAATCTACCTGTGATACATCTGATATCCCACTAATCCATCTGTGCTTCCATGTATTTATGTCACTATGGCTCCCTAGGTGACACTGTGGATGTGTCCAAAGACGTGTCCATGTGCTGTGCCTAGAGTTACTCGACAGCTTTGAAACAGAACTGCAAATCAACAATTATTCCTCAGATTTTTTTTTTTACACGAACACAGCCAATAAGTACATCTATCAAAATCAAGAATTTTTTAGATTATACCTTTGTTGAAAAGAAGACTTTTAAGAAATATGTGATACTTTTCAAATATTTAACACACACTCAAGTTATTTACACTTTCCAAGTTATGTTTCACTGGAAGCATTTAAAGTCATTTGAGAAACAAGGCATCAAAGGTTCTAGCACATGGATGAGCATGGGCTTGTGTTTAATCCTCAATAAAATGAGATAGCGTGCAGGGAGGACAGGATGCGGGCTTGTTTATTAACACCCACTATTTAAGAGCAGACTACACAGGACACTATTTCATGTCGTCAGTGACTTTTCTCACACGGTAGTTGATTCATTTCCACGACACATCAAGCATCACAATTTGAGTCTGTGAGCTGAGCAGGAAGGCTAAAGGAGAGGCAGGGCACACTCGAGTCTACATCAAAGATGGCAGCACTGAACGACATCAAGCCTACCTGTCTGCATCAGAGGCTGTGCCTTTCCTAGACTGTTTTTGGATGCTAGATCTTTCAGACTTTCTGGAGTGCCTGTGGGAATGAAATGTTAAAGAAATACAAAATAGATGATGAATAAAGCTACATTCACATCTAACAACGAAACAACAACAACAACAACAGAGATGAAGAATGGCAGCTAGTTTACCCAAATGGTTTTGTCAGTCAATACTTTCACAATTAAAAAGTATACATGTATAGAAATCAAAATGAATGCTGAATGGAAGTCACGAGTGGCTTACAGAAGGTGGGAGATGATGAGATTGAGCTAGTTTAAACACATACATCTATAGCAGTGATCTGGCATGGATTCTTACTCAGTAACTTTACTTGCCAATGAAGTAAAAGAAGTGATAAAAGCTAGGATGAGAAGCGGTACAGTGATAATGGCTTAGGTGCTGAAGGACCACACAGGGAACAATTGACAATTAATGTGGCAGATGAAACTCTGTGCCCTAGAGTATTTTTGTTTTCTATCACATACATATGAAGGGGGGGGTGAAAGAAAGATGTTGACAAAGGTAAAAACATTTAAGCCAACCACGAAAATTTGTCTTTTAATGGATAGTAAAGATGCCTAGTTAAGTAGGGAGAAATTCAAAAGCTAACCACACCTGATGTAACAGAGAATAAAAGCCTGAAATTTTACTTTCGAAAAGTACACGTAACACTCAACACCTGGAAATTAAGATGTCATTCCCTCCTAAAACCGATGTACATAGAGAAAGTGTGTGAGAGAGATAATATTTAATGTGCCTTACATATACCTGTTTAGCCTATAATGTATGAAATATTATGTGAAAAATTACTATTATGTGTGGGTATTTATAGTGTATATGTGTATATAGACTTAGGACAGGAACGTATATAAGGTATATAACATATGTTGTGTATATATATATATATATATATGATACACATATATCTAAAAGATTATTACAGTTGTCAATTAGTCAAATATCATTTCACATAGTTATGCACAGTGGTTCAGATTTGAAGCAAATAATATAAAATATCATGGCCTTCAAACACATCCTTTTTCAAAAATCATAATGTTAATTTTTGTGTTATTATTCAATCTTTACATTTTACGCCTATCATATTGCCCATAACCCTTTCTTTGTTAAGGCATGTATCTGTTCTTACTTAGAATGGCAGGCATCCTAGCTAAGTGCCTCTCAGGCATGAGACACACACAGTAAAGCATCAAGTCTGCCTTCCCAAGTGTGCACTCTTCCACTCCTGCCAGCTCACACCATTTCACTTCTTTAATACAGGTGTGAGTTCCTCAGCTGGAAGAATATACAACACATACCTAAGTCGATGGCTAATCGTTTTCATGGTGGCTAGGAACAAATGCTTGTTTCTGAAAACTGAGGAAATCCTGGAGGCCACAGCACAGAAGGAGGTGAGGGGTGGGGAAGGAAGAAGCTGGGTAAAGAAGATGGAAGGGTGGGACATCAAAGTAAGAGTTATGTGTAACTTATGGACACTTTGTGTATGGTCCTAACAGTGGTCAAGGACAACTGCCTGAGGGCCAGAGAAGCCTTTTCTCCTCTTCTGGGGACAGGGAGCGGGGAAGATGATAAGTGTGTTTCATCTGTGTTTCTCCTCACCCCATCTTTCACCCACCTGACATACTTGTTCAGTATCTTTATGTGGGAAGCAACCTTTGCATATTTCTGGAACATGTCCATGAATCAGTTACATATGAGTGTCAGCCTTTAGCAAACCGACATTGTTACTACTGAAAGTTGAAAACTTAACAGTAAAAGAATCTGTTGCAGCTACATTGTATAGTGTGGGGCAAGGTGATGAAAGACAACATAGAGAAGCAAAATGGGTGAAGAGGAGTGTAAATTTGAGTAGATTAAGGACTTAGAAGCAAGTATGGACTGTAGCTGTATTTAGATTATTCAGGAAAGGACAGTTAAGATTGTGACATTTAACCAAAACATAAAGTGGTACAAGTGTGTGTGTGTGTGTGTGTGTATGCACGTGTGCATGCACGAGCCTTATGTAAAAATTTTTATGGCTTAAGACAAGTATGAACCTGGTTACCTCAAGGACGAGAAAAGCAGCCATCATATCAGTGTTTGAAAGTGATTTGTAAGATGTGAAGACAGGACAAGGATGGAGGACATAGTAAAACAGGTCCACACATCTCCTTCCTTTGTTGGTTTTAATCTTTTTTGTTAAGGAGACTTCTCTTTCTCTTTAAAGGGCATTTTAAATTTTGTGAAAGATTGTTCTAATGACACCTATGAGGATATGTGTTTATAATTCTTGGAACTACTTAACATCTTTATAATTCTTGTAGCTACTTGAGATAGCCTCAAATAGAGCACAAATGGTAGATATTTAGTTGTCAAAACTCAATGTACAGCAGGAACAGAAATGAATGTCCTAATGATTTTTCTACTCTAACTTTATATTCAAAGCTATGAATATATTTTGTATTTAAATTACACCTGTCTTTGATATAAGTAGAAGATTGAGATAGGTAAAATAGAAAGGTTAGGTTTGAATAACTCATCTATATTAATATAATATGCAATCAAAATTACTGATCAGATGATCATAAATTAGGTCACAGGGAGCAGTACTTAGTGTTGAACATCAATCCCCTAAATGTTCTACTGTCAGTGTCTTGGTCTAGTTAGGTTACTACTGTAACATTACTCATCAAAATGCATTTAGTTCTGTTGAATATTTTGTTTGAAAACTGCTGCTACAATGCCAACTTTTTAAATGATAATTGCAGCAAAAAGTATGAGGTCAGAATCAGGTGGTTGCTTAGAGTTTGGTAGAATGGGAAAGTTTGATCAATATTACCAGGTTATACTTTGATAGATCAAGAAGTAGGTTACAGCTTAACAAGAGTGGAGACAGGTGATAATATACTCTACCTAAAATCTAGATGAGAGACAGGAGGACTTCACTATAGAAATAATATTGAGGAGACCAATATGATAACCTTACAAAATATCACATGGTACCCACAGTATCCATATGATGCTTATGCCTTCATATATTACTTAAAATTATAAAATGTTATTTATTTTAGTGGAATCGACAGTCAAAATTTACACTGAGAGAAAAGAAATAACTGAGAATATGATCTTTTCTTTTATATCAAATACATATAAAAATTTGATTGTATTATTTTCTGGACTTCAGTAAAACAGAAAATTCCACAAATAAAGCATAGCTTCTGCTTTATTAATACTTTATGCAGAAGGACGGGTGAGTTATTTTATGGCACCAGCTTATGCTTCGCCATAATGGGACAACAGGGCTCAGTCTTAGGCTCAGAGTCATGCAGAACCGGAGAGCTCAGCTATTCCCTTAATAACTAGCTAAGTTTGCAAGCAGAAACAATGCTAGAAAATGCAGAGACCCTTAGCCCATGTTCCACAGTTCTTAAATATCTGGTACAGCCACCATGTTCTCATGCATATAGGCTCTACAAAAGTTCTAGGAATCTTTACTAGTATTTTATTGTTCCTACTGTTTCAATGGCTAAAAAGTGAAATTATTTAAAGTTCTCATTTACCTACATAATCGGCTCTTATAAATACTCAGAAATATAAAAATCCTACAATCATATGGTAGATATCAAGTTACTTATGAGCTTTAAAGCATAGCCAAATGTAAAATGCATGCCTATTTTATTATTTAATTGAAGCAAATGCTGTAATTAGAAAACTGGGGCTATCTGTAATCTAACTTGTTTCTTTTAAAATTCCTTTTAGATATAATTTGTATTTATATTAATTTTATCTACATTTTAATGAATAATCAAAGTAGGAAATAATTCTCTGACAACATAGGTAAGTAAATATTTTCTGAAGATTTCACAAAACTTTTATATGTATTTCTCTACATATAGTTCATTTACTAAACAACTGAATTGATACACTTGTGACATTATTTAATGATAATATTTGCTAGGAATTTGTGATCATAAAGTATGTTTTAGTTAGAGGGGAAGGTAAGACAAATCTGAGTATTTTCACTATATAGAATAGTGATGGCATAAGCATAAATTTCTGTATGTTCAGGATGGCTCTTTTGTCTATGGCTTTTTTTTTTATGGTTGAGTTGTCTTACAGTGGAAGGCCTATCTCTACCTTCTTACTTTCTTACAAGATATAATAAATTCATGAGAAATTAATAATGAACACACTTCATCTTATATAGTGCTCATTTCATGTTTGTGACAGTTATCTGGGCACAAAGCATCTGAGCATGTGATACATCTTGTTGTACACTAACTCTGCCTGCACATGAAAAGTGATAACTGTTGTGTGAATCAAAATAGTGATTTTTTTATTGATTTCATCAAAATAGTCAATAAAGCAAGATAATTTTAAATCAAAATGGATCACTTGATATAATTGCTCGAGTTGTCTTACAGATAAGTAGAAGGTGTGGAAAAAGAAGAAAACCTGGTTACTTGTAAAATAAGCAAGAGCTACCTCAGCTCAACAACTTAACTGAGAGCAAGCCCAGTGGGTGCAATATTATTCAAATAGATTTAAGAAAATGGTGATTTTTATCAAATGACTTCAGTACATTCAAAGTAACAGGCGTACCAGTGTAAAAATCTTTCAATGCAAATATAGGAAGTAGTAACTCTGTATCTTAAAGTAACATTTTCATTAGTACAGGATTTATCATAAAAACGAAAAGATGAGTTAGATCATCATAATACTTGGCATTATCACATCATAATAAATGTATAATTAAGCTATGAGAATCAAAGCTATGAGAGTCCGAATACCTTCGGACATTTTAAAATGGTTTTCTTCCAAGTAGTTATTCACTTATTTGCAAGGTTTTGCCTGATTTTAGATGTAAGATCGCATGTGCACTATGTTTTATAGAATTATAGGCTGAAAATTTTACAAAATTACTTCATGTATTTTAAATATTTAATGTTAAATTATATTCAATATACATATTTAAATCTGTATATCAAAATAACAGTGAGGGTAACCGCTCTCTCGTTTGAATGATGTTAAAAATAG